TGTATGATAAACGGACATGATTCATAGATCCTCAGGATCCTTACAAAGAGGATCCGGCGAGGATTTGGACCCTCTATATAGGAGCCAAAATATTGTGGAGTAGCATTATCTTCCCTCCTATTACCATCCCATTCCATCCCCTCCTCTCATACTTTTTTTGTCTTATTCTCTATATAAAAAATTCAAAACAAGATGTGACGTGGCGTAATCGCAACCGTTTAAATAGGAGGGGATGGAAGGAGAGAGAGATTAGGAGAGGAGAAAATTCTACTCCAAACATTGTTCATCCAACACATGTCGGCTTGGTTTGAACAGAATAATAGTCATTGGAATGATGAGAAGAAGAAAACTCGACATAAACAAAAGAACATTCAAAGTAGAAAAGTCTACATCCATAAACATAGGAGGAAATTGGAAAACCAATCAACGACGACTTTGGTTTGTTTATCTTTCTGTGTGGTTCATATTCTTAGTTCAAAAAATGATTGTTTCAGGACATGAGACACAAAGCCAATGCATAGAACTATATACTTTGGTCTTGAACTCCTGGAAAATTCAGAATTTTATATCGCCTTTTAAAGTGGAAAGTCTACAGCCAGCCATGGATGAATCAGATGGCTCCAATCAGCTCAAAAAAGTAAGAAAATTATCAAATGACAAGAGAAAGATGAAATACTGCTTTTCCTATTGTTTGGAGTTAATGCCATTCTGAATAATTTTCTATCTTTGGTAGATAAACATAATTACCTTTTTTCATTAAAAGTAAGAAGGCCTACATATATATACATATATATATATATATATATGTTTTTTTTGTTAAACAATCAATACTAATTTATTAGATATGGAGAGATTTAGTGCAAGGTTTCTCCTTTCACCCTCACATCTTCACACGTCCCTCACCTGCGTGGAAAACACAAATTAGATGATGTGGAGTATGTGTGATCGTTAAGCTTCACACTTGGGCCAACCTATTATATTATTGTGAAGAAAGTTGTGGCTCCAACATAAAACTAAGTGGCAATATCGAGAGTAGTTCAACCTTATAAGTCCTTGCAAGGCGTTTCTCCTTTCACCGATGTAGAACTCTTTTACATTCACATTCTCACAAGAATTACACTGATTCCTGTCAAATCTTTGATTGTTAGTAAGAGAAAAATGAAAATGATACCCATTCTTTACGAATTCATTCCTCCTAAATAAACATGCCTGAAATTGTACGTCTCCACCACTTATGCTTATTAGGTTTATGATCTGGATTTATCTCAACAACAATATAAAGGATTTGGCCAAAATGTGACCTAGAGTTTCGTTGGTTTCTGCTCAACAGCTCGACTTTTATTCAGCCAACAAAAAAAAGAGTCAAATAATGGGACAGATTGTTTCTTAATGCTTGAACTATCCAGGAACACGTATCTGCATTTTTTTAGCACAATATATAAAAAGGTACACTATTATTAGAACTAAGTTATATCAACTAGAAACTAGAAAGCACCGGAATACCTCATGGATATGCTTCAAAAGGAAATAATGAACAAAGAAAAATGCTATTAAAAGAAATTAGGCTTCCATCCTTTTTTTTTCCTACTCTATTGATTAAAACTTTATTCTTTTTCAATTTTTGATCAAGGTCCTTGGATTTAATAAACGTCATTAATTATTTCAAAAATAAAATATTTACACGTCAAGATAATTAAATTTTATTTTTAAAAATATTCATTTAGTGTTAGAATCGTTACATTTGGTATATTTATATTTATGGCTAAACTTTTTATCATATATTTATATTTCTAGTTTGTACCCATTTTTTAATTTGCAACCTTTTTTTTTTTAAATTGTACCAATTTTCTTTTAAATTTTAATTTGTACCCATAATTAGTTTCTGTTTATCCCTTATTTTTTAAACTTTTATTTGTACTCATAATTTTTTTAACCTTTTATTCATACCCATAATTTATTTATAATGTACCCATTTTTCTTTACAAATGTACCACTTTCTTATATGCAAAATGTATCCTTTTTTTTTTGTAAGCACCATTTTTATGTAAAATGTACCCATTTTTTAATGTAAAATCTATTTATTTTTTTACTCTAAAATGTACCATTGTTTTTTTATATATAAAATGTACCCATTGTTTTTTTATATAAAATGTACCCATTTTTTTTATATAAAACGTGCCCCTTTTTTGTATTAAATGTATTGATTTGGTATGTAAAATATAGCCAAATTTTATTACATACATTTACTCATGTTTTATAAAAATAAAATAAAATCCCATTTTTTTTATAATCTAGAATGCACCCATAAGCAATTATTATTATTATTATTTTTATCAAAACTCATAAGCAATCTTGAATAATTGAATTGGTATTGTAAATGAAAGCAAAAAAACGGTTGAGTATTTATTGGTATTATTGCATCTCTTTTATTATTATGTCATTTATGTGACAGGAGAGAGACTTCAATCAAAAACCTAAAATGCATAAGATTTGAGTTTATAACAGTTAGGAATCAAGGATTGCAACTTAACTATCCCAAAACATAATTACGGAGGGATTTGGAAGCTGGAAAGTGCTTAGTTGTTTCATTGCGGCCGCAAAGACGTCTTCCAGGTGTCACAAGTGAGGTCACCTACCTCCTCCTCCTCCTCCACCACCACCGGTCCACCACCAGTCTCTTTCTGACGTGGCCACCACCGTGCTGACTCAACCATTATCATGCTGGCGTTCGTCTGCCTATGTGTTGCTTCCAGGAAACCATGCACACAGTAGACGCCACTGTTCTCACTAATATGCTTTATACAAGGGGCTCTTAGAGATTAGTCCTTACTAAAGATAATTTTTAGAAAATAACCTAAAAGGTTTTTAGTATCTAAAAAAGATCATTTATTTAAAAGGAAAACTAATGAAAATGACTTGAAAACTTTGAGTTTTAATGATAAGGACAAAATAAAGGGTAAAATGAATAGTACTAGGATTGACTTTTTAGTGTAAAAATATGGTTTTTCGTTAAAGTGAACAGTACCAGGTGCTTTTCGTTAAAGTTCTCTTATTTAAATGCACCATGACATGTCACCTATACAAATACCAAAGTTTTAGCACTATTTACATGTCTGCCATCTTAAATGTTAGAACTGTAACCTCAACTTTTTTGTTATCAGATTCGCAACAGTAACATTGAGAGATTTAGACAGAGAGAGCAGGGGAGCGTTTCATTCGGTATTGAATCTGTAATCAATGAAGATTTTCAAATTTTCAAACACGCTGTTTACTCTCACACCCGTGTATTTCAGTTGTTGTAACTGTCTGGACGCTTGCTGCACGAAAATCTGTTTGAAGCTACGATTGTTCGGCTTTCCCGATTTGCTGCCTTCGTCGGAACCCACGAATCCCTTGTAAGCTACTACTTGTACTCTTCTTTTTGTCGTGTATGCTATATGATGTGGAAAATGCGTTTAGTTGTCACAATCAACACGCACGGGTGTGATACTTGTATAGGTTTTACAATGCACACCATGTGTTTGTTGAAAGGCCTCTATGGAGATTTTGTATATGTTGGTTCTTGTTGCATTCGGTACTCTTTAAGGGTTGCAATGGGCAGTTAGGTACGGTCGGTTAGATCCTCTCCAATCGGTACAGTCGGTTAGGTTCCCTTCATTCGGTACGTTCATTTAGGTACCCTTCATTAGGTACGGTTCGATGAGGGTATGGCTTGAAGGCTTTGCTGGCCGTGCAATCCCATCCTCTATTTTTTGTTAGACGGTGACTCAATTCATTAGGCTTTGCTGACTGAATTTCTAAACCCTTGGGTTGCAGCATTACACAATGACTGAATTTCTAAAGCGAAATCAAAGCCATACTTCGGTAGGTACGGTCGATTAGGTCCTCTCAATTCGGTACGTTCAGGTAGGTCCCTTTCATTAGGTATGGTTCAATGAGGGTATTAATCATGTGAACCCCAACACAAATTTGATCAAAGTTAAATCCATGCTTCAACTATTTGAAAAAAAGTTAAATTGAAACATTTGAGAGAAATAAAGAACAACATTTTACAGTTTTCAAAACTTACCCCAACTGGTCAGAATTCGTCGGAATTGGTGCTGAAAACCCGAACGAAATATAGTCTAGTATGCACGAATCACCAGTGAATAGCACAACAATTGCTTCACTTTGATTTGGACCCAAGAGTTTATATAAGAAAATTCTAAAAATCAGGATGATTAATATGAATTGATAATGAGACAATCCAACCTGATTTTTGGGATCAATATATAGAAAGGAAAGCGTGAACATCACCATCAGCAGAGAAAAAGGGAAAAACTTCATTGAAGCCGGAGATGGAGAGATGAATCGTAACCAATGCATAGTCGACGGAGAGATGAATCGTAATGTGCAGAGACGCGAGGAATCCTCCACCACAAAACGTTTCACCACTTATCTAAACCTAAGGGCAATATAGGTAAACTAAAAATATAATAAATTTGTAGAAAAATAATTAAATATGACATGGACTATATAATCTGACGTGGAAATCAGTCAAAGGACTATTTTAAGTTTTTAATTTTGAATACGGTATTATTGAAAAGTTAATCTTATTTTGGGATTAAATTGAAGTTTCCTATTTATACAATTACCTTCCATTTAAACCTAAAAGCTAAGCTATTTTTCATTTGCCAAACATCTTTTATTTTTCCTGCCCACAGCCACCACCCTCACGTGACATATACCAAATCTCTCCCAAATCAACGGTCACGATCATCCCATTAAAGTCTTCCTTTGACCCCATTCCCACCTTTGATAAATATAGCTTACCCACCCTCTCATTCCTTCCCTCTATAACCCTAAACTCAAATTTGTTTTCCCGAATTTCTCTCTCTCTCTCTCTCTCTCTCTCTCTCTCTCTCTCTCTCTCTCTCTCACATTCCTTCCCTCTAACCCTAAACTCAAATTTGTTTTTCCTCATTTCTCTCTCTCTCTCTCTCTCTCTCGACAATTCGATAATGAGTAGTAGTACCGGAACCATGTCCAATAACCCTAATGATCAGTGGCTCCAATTCTACACCCAAAACCTCAATTCTTCTACTCCTGCTTCAATGTTTTGCCATGATCAAGTCTCTGATGCCACCAACGTCACCACGACCACTACAACTTCATCTTTACCGGGTCATGCCGGTTCAGGTCACCCGAGCTCCAGCACCAACAACAGCTTGAGCCCGGATCAAGGCCGAGTTTCGAAGCCGGCTCGGAAAAGGTCTAGAGCCTCAAGAAGAACTCCCACCACGCTACTCAACACGGACACTACCAACTTTCGTGCCATGGTGCAGCAATTCACTGGGGGTCCTACTACGGCGTCGTTTCCCGCTGGTGCGTCGAATCTTAGCTTTGGCCTCGGCCCCACCAGGCCACAGAGCTTTGTGGTGCCTCCCGGGGCGGCGGGGTACCATCCTCTACAACCTCAGCAGCAACAACTCTTACAACAACAACAACAGCAACAATACCAACAGCGTCAGAGCCAGCAATACTTGTTTTCGCTGAACAACAACAACGACAACGTTAACGGTGGAGATCGTGGGTTTCTTGAGAGATTGTCATCAAGAGTGGGACCCACAAACATGGTGATGGGACTGTCGTCCGATCATGATCATCATGAGTTTCTGAGGGAGGGTGCTGCATCTCAAGTGCCTTCTTCTGCTAGGCCGCCCAGTTCTAATACTTCTGCCAATGAGAACAGGAGTTACATGTTTTGAGCAAATTGAGGGGACTTAAAGCAGAAAAGTTAGGTAGAGTGACTTATCTTAGGGACAAAATTCTTGACCAATGTATATATATATATATATATAAGATCTCCATTTTTTTTGAAAAAATGGGGACACGCTCCCACTGTTAGATTGACTTTAATGAAATTATGTGATTGAGATTAAAATACAGGCTACACAATCTCAACCACACAATTTCATTAAAGTTAAATCCAACGGTGGAGAGCGTGTCCCCATTTTTTTGAAAAAATGGAGATCCCTCCCCATTAAGCAATTCCTATATATATATATATATATATATATATATATATATATATATATATATATGAAAACATATATATTTATCTTTTATCTTTTTCAGCGGACTCGATACCAAATGTCTTATTTTCATATTCAATGTTGTTAATTGTTCAATTCTTAATATTTTTTTTTTAAAATTTTGTAATTTGATTAAGGATGCTCTAACTAGTTTTAGCTTGTTTCTTTTGCTTGCGTCAAGTTGCTGACATAAAATGCAAAGCGCCTGCGAGTGATTGGTTGTTTCAGTTGTGAGATTCAATATTTAGGGTCGAAACGTTTCTAGATAGTTGAAGTACAAAACTGTACAAGACTAATAGCCACTTAGTACTACGGTCTAATGGTATTACTCTTCACTTGTAAGTGAGAGGTCTTAGGTTCGATTCTCGCCAAAGGCGAATTTGAATCACATTATTGTTATAGCCTATTGTGGTGCTTAGCCTAACCCTCTATACAATTAGCTATTAATTCAGTGATACTTTTCTATAATAGGTTATGAGTTTGAATTTTCACTGTCATTTTATTTATTAATTTCATTAGATTGGATACTATATGTCAATAATTTAAAGAGACGGTCAAGTAGCCCACAACTAATAAATGACATTGATAATCTCCCAATTTGCATCTTATCACCTATATACTAGCACATAATGTGTTAGGGGTTTAAAACGAAAGATCTATGTGCAGTTAGGAGTAGAATCATTCATTATATATAGTATTTTATTTTGTCAATTAATTTTTCGACATGATATATTCTTGTTCAACATTACATATATATATATGTATGTATATATATACACTACGTATATATCAATCATTCTTTTTGGACATACTATAATTGTTGAATTTTCCAAGTTGACAGGCCGATGGTCCCACTCCAATAACACAGATACTGTCTCCAATTTGGTAATTACCACCTGCCCAATCCGTCAGGTGTGGGGTTTTATCACAAAAGGTCTTGGTGTTAGTTAGAGTAGGATAATCCTATTTAAATTGCTTTTCTCTTTTCCCTCTAGTTGGTGTGGGATTCAACACGCCCCAACACGTGAGACCCCATTTTTGTGGGTCACACGTGAAGATTCACACATCGGCAACCACGTGGAGCCAAGTCGGGACTCACCCATCATGCGGCCGGGGTCAACGGGAATCCACCCATCACGTGGCACTCTTGGCCTACGTGGAGCCATGTCGGGACTCACCCATCGCACGGGGCCAAATGGGACCCCCCCAATCATGTGGCAGTACGAGCCTGTTCCCAGGCTCTGATACCATGTTCAATTTTCCAGGTTGACGGGCCGAGGGCCCCACTCCAACAACACCAATACTATCCTAAACTTGGTAATTACCACATGCCCAATCCGTCAGGTGTGGAGTTTTTATCACAAAGACCTCTGTGTTAGTTAGAGTGAGGTAATCCTATTTAAATTACTTTTCTCCTTTCCCTCTAGCCGATGTGGGAATGACATTGTTGTTTTTTATTTACAAATGATAGGATAATCTACAGTAAACTCATCTAAATTACGAGGAAGGGAAATCGAACACGAGACTCAGATGTAAAGGTGAATGTTCTTAACCAATTGAGTTACGTACAAACCACTTGCTACAATACATTCTTGTTAAACACTACATATATACTATATGAATAACTATACCATATGAACGCACCCTCTCTTAATTATGACCTAAAGTAATAACGTATACTTTGATATTATTTTGTTTATATGAATAGTACTAGAAGACCACATTTTGGTACCGCATTAATATATCATATAATATGACAAGTGATGTGTACCGCGCCATGTTAATTTTTGATTTTATCACACTGAACTTCTTAATTGACGCGGTATGTATGGATAAGAGATCCTTAATGACAAAGAATATTCAACAGCTTTAATATATATATATATATATAGTCCTTCAAAGCTCACCTAACACACTAGCTAGCTGGTAACAAATCTAAACCGCTAGCATTTTGTCCTTCAAAGCTTATATATACATATAAACACAAAGCTCGCCTAACACACTAGCTAGCTGGTAACAAATCTAAACCGCTAGCATTTTTAATTTGTTCAAAAAACAAAGGCGGCGATGGGGCGCCGTCGGAGGATGAAATGCAATTATGCAAGAGTCCCATCACTTCCATGCATAGAAATATAATAACATCCAAATAGCCCAAAAGTTATGACCAAAATAATTATTCTTAATTAATAGATATATAATAACATCCACATAGCCCAAAAGTTATGACCAAAATAATTATTCTTAATTAATTTTCTTGTTTTCACGTTTCCAGAAATAAAATTAGTACTGGGAAAAAGAATTTGCACATGGTGATCAAGAAACAAGGAATGTGTTTAAGAATTTTAAAATTTCACTAAATGCATGGGTGATCGAGAATTGAAGAATGTGTTTAAGAAACTATAATTACTAAAATAACGAAAAGTGTATAATACGTGAAAAATACGAGGTATAACTTTGCTAAAAAAATTAAAGAGGAAATTGTAGCAATGGTCTCTCAACTTTAACTTAATTGAAGTAATGGTCCATCAACTAAAAATTCATGATCATTGGTCCCTTAACTCATCAAAACGTGAATTTATGGTCATTTTTTGTCAACTCCGTTAGAACTTCTGTCAAAATGAGTTATGTGTCACACACGTGAGGTTGAATTAAGGGGCAAATATGGAAAACCAAATGAGAAAAATTGGAGGAGCAGTCCCTCAATTTTAACCCAATTGGATTAGTAGTCCCTTAACTTTAACTCAATTAGAGCAATGGTCCCTCAACTTTAACCTAGTTATAGTAATGGTCATTCCAATATGACTCATTTTGACGAAATTTTGAACGAGTTGACGAAAAGGACCATAGCTGCACATTTTGATGAGTTAAGGGACCAATGGTTATGACTTTTTAGTTGAGGGGCAATTGTTTCAATTGGGTTGAAGTTAAGAAACCATTGCTACAATTTTCTCAAAATTGAAATATTCGGCTTGACATTGTTTAAAATACTTTTTTTTAAATATGTTAAAAATATAAATAAAAAAACATAAATTTATATGCTTTATAAAAAAAATGTGTCAAAATAACGCGTAATAAACCTGAAAATACGTGTATAGTACTTTATATGTGTCAAAAAATGTGACAAACTCAGGACCACTTCTATTGATTTCAAATCCCAGTGATTAAAGCAATGAGTTATGCAAATCTCAGGAACTATTTTAGTTAAAAATCCTTAAAAGAAAGAAAAGAGCACTGTAATCTGCAAAATCTTTTCTTCTTTCAAAAAGCGGGAACGGGAGTGGCGCATCCGGCGCTTCTTGAGTTGAGAGCGACTGTTGTTTTTGAGAGAGAAATGGAGAGGGAAGAGGGGGTGAATGCGAGCTCATCAAGGGACCCAATTGGCGTAAAAGGCAAGAAATTGTAAACTTTTACGAAGTCAAATATATGCCCTAATCTTTGCTTATTTGAATTTAAGTGGGTGCCTTCTGATTCACCAAAGATTACATTAATCTTTGATTGGTTTATCTTAGTTTCATTCGTCCCGGGAGCATCATTAGCACAACCTCAACTTTCAAACTTGTTCTACTTGTTCTTGAGGCCATGTCAAACACGTGGATTTGTATAATATTGATTATCCACTCTGACTTCGTGGTATGTTATGAGAAATATTAAAGTTTGATTATATATATTGAGATCACTTTCAACGGTGGGGTTAAGAATTTTTTACCGAATGAGTTAGCTTAAAGATTTAAATCTTTATAAACAAGGAAACTTGATACTGTATTTTTCACACTATCAGCAAGCTTAAGAAATTTTTCACAAGGTGAGCCAAGAATTTTCGTTATTAAATTGTTGACCCTAAAAACTACCAAGCCTACGTGGCGCGCAAGCCGAGTAATCTATAAGCTCAATATGTCCTTCGGTTGAATGCGGGGCGTGCCAACTCGTTGGTCGAGCTCGGCCGAGGAGTAAAATTTGTTGATGTTGTGTTGGGTGCGCGGCTGACTTCTGCGTCTTGCTATTGCGACCGAGGAAGAAACACATCTTGGCCTCTTGTGACCTTCTCGAACCTGAAGACAAGGCTACTATTCTTACGAAGTTCACGAATCGTCATCGTTGGATTCGGTCACAGTGATGGTATTCGTCAGAGTAAACTCACGCCGAATCGACACCAAAGTGTAAGGCCACAAATACTCAAAGCGGATATAAGTCTTAATAGTGAACGTGGTTCGACCGTCTGAATGCCGAACTCTAAATCCCACTTAAGAGTATCCAATCATAAAATAACTCGGCGTGCAATGCATCGAGCTCAGTAAGCTGTAACACCTCACTTCGTCGAGAAGGCTAATGAGATGACCTCGATCAATAAGGATTCAGAAACCCTTCTCGACCGAGACTTGGATAGGTAACCAACTGCCCTCGTCGCAGTGCTGTTGATGCCAATGGAAGATGCTGCGAGATTGGCTGATTCTACGGCGACAGAGCTATCTATGCTGACTGAAGATATCACCGGTTGCTTTCACAGTGCTGTTGATGCCAATGGAAGATGTGTCAGCGAAAAGAGAATAAAAAATCTCAAAGTTGTTGAGAGAGTTTGCACAGGGCAGGTGTGTTTTGAATTAGAGAGGCTTGAACAATGCATAACTTCCTCTATTTATAGCATCAAATACCCACTAAGTAAAGTTAATCCGAGT